TAGTGAAAATAGTTTCCACCGGTTCTGTAAGATGGCGCCAAGTATACACATTATGTTTCGGGATAATGGCTACGAACTTGGAATGAGGTCTTTAGATTTTTATTAACAGGAACAACACCAACCGATATCATCCGACAGCAGAAGTAACAATAACAATTGAATTATACAAAAAGAACATCTAGGTTGTAGGTAACGCCAATCAGTCGCAATCAGCCATTACTGTCGGTAAAGTGGAGCGGGAATTGTAGCATGGCGCTACAATTGATCAATTATTCGTTATTTTTCATAAATGCATAATTAATGCAATTCATTACTTTATCACACTACAATATATTATTTTAATATATTTTTAAACATTTATCCACTTTTACATATATAAATGCAGCAATAATTATCGACACCTTTAGTTAGTGACGCCATATAGCATCATGGTTGAAAACTATTTCGTTACTTTGCCGTTTTGGCATCAAAGGCAATGACCTAAAAAACGCTGTACTTTCGCCTCTTTAGAAGTATTTTATATTCTATGGTTCCATGATCAAGCCTCCAAACAGTCCAAAGAGTTTCGTTGAATTTGGTCGGCTTTTATTTGTATAAACTAATAGACTTGTAAGAAAGATTATTACGTATTATTTTTGCAGTGGAACGTTATACACTTGCTCACAAATCTTGTATTAATAAAACATGTATGCTCTTGAAGATGGTAAGAAATTTGCAAAATTATTGTAATATAACCTCATAGTATTGTTATTTCAATGTATTTTTAAAATATTAATTTATGAATGACCACATTTTTATATAGATCAATACGATGACGAAGATGCAGAGGAAATTTCATCAAAGCTTTGGCAAGAGGCATGTTGGATTGTCATTAATGCTTATTTTGATGAGAAAGGCCTTGTACGACAACAACTTGACAGTTTTGATGAATTCATTGAAATGTCTGTTCAACGAATCGTCGAAGATTCACCACAGATTGATCTACAAGCAGAGGCACAACACACATCAGGAGAAATAGAAAATCCTGTTAGACATTTGTTGAAGTTTGAACAGATTTATTTGTCGAAACCCACTCATTGGGAAAAGGATGGAGCTCCGTCACCTATGATGCCAAATGAGGCCAGACTTAGAAATTTGACGTATTCTGCACCATTATATGTGGATATAACTAAAACAATTGTAAAAGATGGAGAGGACCCTATTGAAACACAACATCAAAAAACATTTATTGGAAAGATTCCAATTATGTTAAGATCAAAATATTGTTTACTTGCTGGTTTATCAGATCGTGACTTAACAGAGTTAAATGAATGTCCACTAGATCCTGGTGGTTACTTTATTATTAATGGATCAGAAAAAGTACTAATAGCACAAGAAAAAATGGCAACAAATACAGTTTACGTGTTCAGTATGAAAGATGGCAAATATGCATATAAATCAGAAATTAGATCTTGTTTGGAACATAGTTCACGTCCCACGTCTACATTATGGATTAATATGATGGCAAAGAGTGGAGCTAGTATTAAAAAATCTGCCATAGGCCAACGAATTATTGCAATCATTCCATACATTAAACAAGAAATTCCTATTATGATTGTTTTTCGAGCACTTGGATTTGTAGCTGATCGTGACATATTAGAACACATCATATATGACTTTGATGATCCTGAAATGATGGAAATGGTAAAACCTTCTTTGGATGAAGCATTCGTTATACAAGAACAAAATGTTGCATTAAATTTTATTGGTACTAGAGGTGCAAGACCTGGAGTAACCAAAGAAAAACGTATTAAGTATGCTAGAGAAATTTTACAAAAAGAAATGCTTCCACACGTAGGCATTAGTGATTTTTGTGAAACTAAGAAAGCTTACTTTCTGGGTTATATGGTACATAGATTATTATCAGCATCTCTTGGTAGGAGAGAATTGGATGATCGTGATCATTATGGTAATAAAAGATTAGATTTAGCTGGTCCATTATTGGCATTCTTATTCAGAGGATTGTTTAAAAACCTCATGAAAGAAGTGAGGTTATATGCACAGAAATTCATAGACAGAGGAAAAGACTTTAACCTTGAACTTGCTATCAAAACCAAAATTATTACTGATGGCTTGAGGTATTCACTTGCTACAGGTAACTGGGGAGATCAAAAGAAGGCTCATCAAGCTAGAGCTGGTGTGTCACAAGTATTGAATAGATTAACATTCGCATCAACACTTTCACATTTAAGAAGAGTAAACTCTCCAATTGGTAGAGATGGTAAACTAGCCAAACCACGTCAGTTACATAACACGTTATGGGGTATGTTGTGCCCTGCAGAAACCCCTGAAGGTGCTGCTGTAGGTTTAGTAAAAAATTTAGCATTAATGGCTTACATCAGTGTTGGATCTCAACCATCTCCAATTCTTGAATTCTTGGAGGAGTGGTCTATGGAAAACTTAGAAGAAATTGCACCAAGTGCAATAGCTGATGCAACAAAAATATTTGTAAATGGCTGCTGGGTTGGTATCCACAGAGATCCAGATCAATTAATGGCTACATTACGTAAATTACGACGTCAGATGGATATTATCGTATCAGAAGTATCTATGATCAGAGATATCAGAGATCGTGAAATCAGAATATATACAGATGCAGGCAGAATTAGTAGGCCTTTATTAATTGTTGAAGGACAGAATTTGTTGCTGAAAAAAAGGCATATTGATATGTTGAAAGAAAGAGATTACAATAATGATGGCTGGCAGGAATTAGTTGGAAGTGGAGTAGTTGAATACATTGATACTTTAGAAGAAGAGACTGTAATGATTGCTATGTCACCTGAAGATTTAAGACAAGAAAAAGAATATGCTTATTGTACAACATATACACATTGTGAAATTCATCCAGCAATGATCTTAGGAGTCTGTGCCTCAATTATTCCATTTCCTGATCACAATCAGAGTCCAAGAAATACGTATCAAAGTGCTATGGGTAAACAAGCTATGGGAGTATACATAACAAATTTCCATGTAAGAATGGATACCTTAGCACATGTATTATATTATCCTCACAAACCTTTAGTTACAACAAGATCTATGGAATATCTTAGATTCCGTGAATTACCAGCTGGAATCAATAGTATAGTTGCTATATTATGTTACACTGGTTACAATCAAGAAGACAGTGTTATTTTAAATGCAAGTGCTGTTGAAAGAGGTTTCTTTAGATCTGTATTTTATAGATCTTATAAAGATTCAGAATCCAAAAGAATTGGTGATCAAGAAGAACAGTTTGAGAAACCCACCAGACAAAGTTGTCAAGGAATGCGTAATGCTATCTATGATAAATTGGATGATGATGGAATTATTGCTCCCGGAATTCGTGTATCTGGAGATGATGTAGTTATAGGTAAAACTATTACCCTGCCAGAGACAGACGATGAGGTATGTGTCATACAATTGTTATATTAAATGAACTTTGTTTATCAGCTAACATGTTCCACTCTTTTAACAATGTTTACAGTTGGATAGTACAATAAAACGTTTTACAAAGCGAGATGCATCCACATTTTTACGTAATAGTGAAACAGGTATAGTGGATCAAGTAATGCTGACTTTAAATAGTGAAGGATATAAATTTTGCAAAATAAGAGTGCGTAGCGTTCGCATTCCACAAATTGGCGATAAATTTGCTTCACGACATGGACAAAAGGGTACTTGTGGAATTCAGTACAGGCAAGAGGATATGCCATTTTCATGTGAAGGTCTTACACCAGATATAATAATTAACCCTCACGCTATTCCATCGCGTATGACTATTGGCCATTTAATCGAATGTATACAGGGAAAAGTATCAGCTAATAAAGGTAATGTAACAATTACTTTAAAAATCATTAAACCACGCAATAAGTAAATTTCAATGTATTTCTTAATAGGCGAAATTGGTGATGCTACTCCATTCAATGACGCTGTAAATGTACAGAAGATCTCTACGCTCCTACAAGAATATGGATATCAACTGAGAGGAAACGAGGTCATGTATAATGGACACACTGGCCGTAAAATCAATGCCCAAGTCTTTTTAGGTCCAACTTATTATCAACGTTTGAAACATATGGTGGATGACAAAATTCACAGTAGGGCTCGCGGACCTGTACAGATTTTAGTTCGGCAGCCTATGGAAGGAAGAGCAAGGTAAATTACATTATTTGTATTAGTTACTGTAACATGTACATTCACGTATAAATATTTGAATTCTTAGAGATGGAGGTTTACGATTTGGTGAAATGGAGCGTGACTGTCAGATTTCTCATGGAGCAGCACAATTTCTAAGGGAACGTTTATTCGAAGTTTCAGACCCATATCGAATACACATATGTAATTTCTGTGGTTTAATTGCAATAGCAACTTTAAGAAATAATACATTCGAATGTAAAGGGTGTAAAAACAAAACACAAATCTCTCAAGTCAGATTACCATATGCTGCAAAATTACTTTTCCAAGAACTTATGGCTATGAATATCGCACCTCGATTAATGGTAGCTTAAATATTGGTATGTTTACAATTTTTTTTTAGTGTTTTTATTAATTCTTTGCAAAATAAAGTCGAAAGTATAAACAAAAATTGCACCGTACGAGGCATTATTTTTGAGAAAAGTGAATTTAGAGTTGAGTTTTGACTATTTTTCGGATTCACATTATCATCATGTACATATTACATTTTTGTAGTATATCCCAATTATTAATTAACATTACGTGAGCAAAAGAAATTGGTGACTATGATGTCAAAATCTTTTGCTATTTGACGTGACAGATAACATTAATTGCGTCTGAAACGCGTGTTTAAATTTTAAGCTATTTTTAATAAGTATTGCATATTTTATATCGATAGTTGTTAATTCATATCTTGTATACTTCATCTTAAAATTGTATAATAATTTATCTCTCTATTGTTTATTGTAACATGATACTTAAAATAAAAATATAAATAAAAAAGATTTATATCTTGAACAAGAAAAATGTTTCTTTATAAATTACGAGAATATTTATTACATGATAATAAATTGCATAAAAAATTATGGTAGTCCAAAACTAATGAGATTTCATAGTAGATGCAAAGTTTATCAAAGTGTATAACATACCTAAATAATGGATAAAAAAACATTACTTTTCTTAATTACACCATACTGGGATAAGTATATTATTTAGAAAGAACATTTCAAAACTTTAATTTTATATTAATCTATAACTATTGTATTTCACTAGATTGTTTTATAAGACATACGTCTAAAATACAAAACCGTGCTCTGCATACAGGGCAAGTACATTTAGAAGACAACCATGTTTCTGGTGCATTTTCATCTTGTCTTGATGCAAACCTGTAACAATATGTATCTTATTAAAATATTAATATAACACATAACGAATTATTAAGTATTAAATATTAACCATTTTGCCATGCAATCTATGCACCACATTGGACGACAATAACACGTCATACAATCTTCAGGACCACTATTTCCTATACCACTACTGCACAGTTTATACAATTTTACATTTGATGGTGCTTGCATACATCCAATACATTGATTTAATTCCTTAAAATATTTATATATGATTAGTAGTTTAAGAAATAAAATAGAATATTAGATTAATATAATATATAATAACTTACTTCTGCAGTCTCATATAATGGATTTTTTTCAACTTGTTCCTTAAAATTATCAATGAACCTATCAAGTAAGGTTTTATGAAAAGTAATGTCTTGTAATATAGTGATAGGACGTGAAACTTTATCTTGTAAATTTTTGAAATCTAAGGCATTTAGTCTTATGTCAAAAGATTGTGCTCCAATTCGTGTAGGCTTTACCTAAATGAATAATATATTTGCAATTAATAAAAAGTAATAATTCATGAAATAAAATAGTCCTGTCCATGATTGGCATTTAGAATAATATAATCAATGCAACTACTATTTATTTTGAATAATACAACATTCAAAGATCATGAGATTAAAATTTTAGGTGTTAAACTATTTTAAAAAAATAATTTGTTTTCTAATATTGTTCTTGAACAAGAACTAGTTTAAAATGTATAAAGTATACCTCAATATTAATAAACTGAACTTCTCCCCTTGTCACAGGTGACATATCATGAGTGTCACTTTTGTTAACTACCAAAGCTGTGTCACTCTGGTGTGCAACAAATATTCTATAAGGCATAACTTTAATTATCCAATTATCTGTTGCTATTATAAATGTTATGCTATTTGTGGTAATTATAATTTTGTCTATTCTAAAACAAAATTTCAAATCTTTATTCTCCTTTAAAACATGAATATCTTATGTAATATCATAAAATTGATACGTAACCTTCGATATTCTACATTGATATCAGAAGCTATTGCAGTCCATGATACAGTATTATTATTATTATTATTATTATTATTATTACAATAAAGTGCAAGATTTTGGACTATAGGATGTTTACTCCAATTATTCATAGACCATATGAGGATTTTGTATAAGGTATAGAGTGGCAAGAGTATAGTACAAGTAAGAATCATTAACCATAAATTGTTATGGCCTAATAATAATCTTATAGCATCTACATGTCCAAATACAATTAAACCAAGAGCATAACCTGAATAAAAAGAAAACTTAATTTAGTACTCCAAAATTAGGATGTTTGACATATGAAGAATATTTACTATATTTACCAAGGGGAAGTATAGAATGTACATATAATGTAATTATACTTCTTTTTATATGATATTGTATAAAAAATTCGTTTTCACTGCCTAACCAACTTGAAAATATGTCTTTTATGGTTAGTCCAGCTGAAACGAATTCCGTAGGTGGATATATAATACATCCTGACATTAAAATGTAAGACAAAGAATAAAAGAAAAATGCGGACATGTTCTAAAGAATATACTTCCAATTGCGTATTTTCACTTTTTACCTCACCGTTTAAAAATCTTTTACATAACTATATTTGACAATTGTTGTTTAAATTCTTTGTTTTGTCAACGCCATTTAAGGTGGTTCTTTCCCAACTGTACTAGACAAAACAAAACTCAAATACAGAGATTATTAATTATTAGATTATTAATTTTCTATAATAAAATTCTTAAATTATTATTTTCTTATGTTTTTTTTTTTTTAAAAAACGTAGTAATCGATACGATTACAGTTGCAATTAGTTTTTCAAGTATTATTTTATCCAACGTAGTAGCTGTGAAATCGAGCACGCGGCAACTTCGAGATGACAACCACAGACAACCCGGTTAGTATTGGTAGTCACATAATAGGGCATCTCTGCGCCTACGAGATGGCAACCGAACCGACAAACAGGCTAGTATAGGTTACCGCGTAACAGGGGCACATCTGCGCCTACAATGCAGCAACCGGGCCTATAAACTAGCTAGGATCGGTTGCCATCTAACAGGGGCATACTCCGACCCTACTTGGTGACGATTAACTTTTCGTTCACTTTTCGCTCCAAAGAACAAGGTTTTGTATAACTATTTATTATTTTAAGAAAAATAACTGGTCACCTGTGATTACTTACTTCTTGTTTAGAATCTTGAAACACCCGCTCTTTTTCAAAATACCGTGCACCAGCCATATTTATATGCAACGTTGCCACGTTCTCGAGACAGAAGTCTGCATTAAAAGATATCGTAATTGACTTTTTTTTCTAACGCATATTGCTCTGGTACTAAACGGGCAAGTTTGCCGAAATTAAAATATGTTACTCTACACTTATTAATTTACTTTGCATTCATTTTTGGTTTTGATCTGTATTGTACAAATTGTTTTACAGTCAAAAGTATCATAGAAAATTTCCTTTTTTCCGTTGGCTGCCATAAACCTCTTGTCAAATGCGACGAAAAATCACAAAATTCAAGTGATCATATCTAGCAAATTAAACGGTAAATTGAACTCAAATTTCACACAGGTGTGTATTAAGATGTAAATTTAAGTTTTCAAAGTTATGAGACGATTTGAACTCTTATCATTTTTGACCGAATCACCTTACATAAAGCAATGGTTAGGTCTGAAATTATGACGAATATCCATGAAAGTTGTTGTCAAAGTAAACTTCAACATTTGTAGAAAATCCTCGATATTTCAATTATGATACAATTTTTAATTGTTTATCATATATGTCGATCATAAAAGTGTTCGCATCGCAATAATTTTTTCCGGAATACAACAAACCACAATCCTGGAATACTATACAATACGTGAAAATCAGCCTATAATTGCATCTATATTTTGGATACTGATATATATGTGTGTATGCGCGTGTGTATATACATGGATATTTATGTGTGCATATGTGCATGTATATAGTTGATAGCAGCGATAGTTTATGACAGTTCGTAGAGCTCGCTATACTTGTTCTTTCAATATTTTTATATCTTTGTAATTATTTCCAATGATTATTTACAAACAGTAACATGAAGAACTAACATATACAATTTTACATTGAATTAATATGATAAGTACAATTATTTTCGTGGTCGAGAATATTGTAAGTATTTCTCAATTATAATTTGTTCGTTTATGACTATTAAGATTGTTTTCTGACATATTTTTCTTCTTACTATGTAAATTTATTTGTTATGAATGAGAGTTGTACATTTGATAATGCCAAAATTTTCATGAATTGTTTCCTCCGTATAAACAATAGAAAGAACCTATAGTAATTACATTCATATTTTGTTTCCTTTACTTTCATCAAAAGTACTTGGTTATATAAACGATTAAGTATAATTAATAAAATATGTATAATATTTTCTGTACTAATTGATGATTATATTATCTAGGTAAGCGTCTTCCTTTGCTAATGATGAAGGCTGCCCTCATATTCTTAGTTTTAACTCAAGCTAGAGGAAAAACAATTCAAACATGTCCACAATATTGCACATGTAAACTTGGTGCACAAGCAGAGTGGTTACGAGTTAAATGTGGCAATGAATTGCAAGATATTAGAAGTATCAATATTGATATTGTCAGTGTAGAATTAGTACAATTGTGAGTGTTCTATAACTTTTTTAATTAAAAAACATTTATTTCTACATTGTATTGTATTATATAAAATATAATATAATTTCTATATCGTCCTTAATAATGTGTTGCAGGGATTTAAGTAGAAATAAGATTTATACCATTGAAGCCAATATATTTAAAAATTTGACAAATCTCAAACGTTTGGATTTATCACAGAATAATATAACATCTATTGGCGAAGGTTGCTTTAATGGTCTTGGAAATTTAGAAAGACTGTGAGAATACTAATTTATTCTAGTTAACATTATATTATAGAGAACACTAATCTTATATGTATATAATTTTAGGGATTTAAGTAAAAATCAAATTTCAAACATAGATGCTTATGCATTTCGAAAATTGTCAAATTTAAAAAGACTGTAAGTTTTTGAATCATGTATTACTACATATTATTCATGCTTACTTTTATCTTATAATTGTTTGTTTGATTAGCGATTTATCAGGAAACAACATAAGTATTGTGATACCATCATTATTTCATGATTTACTGGCATTAGAGCGCTTGTAAGTGAGTTTTTAATTTCTTTGCTTTGCATTTAACAATTGCAAAAGTTTTCATACAAATAAAATTAGATATACAAATTTTCAGCTTATCATTAATTTATAAATATATTTTAGGAAATTAAATGAAAATAGACTAACAACTTTAAGGGAAGGTACCTTCTCTGGCCTCAAATCTATAAAACAATTGTAAGTATGGTGAACAATATATAATATAAACTTATGTAAAGAAACAAATTTATCAAATTTGAAATTGTATTTTAGAGATCTGTCTACTAATCCATGGAAATGTGATTGTGAATTATATTGGTTCAGCGATTGGATTCATAAGAGCTCTATTAAATTAATGTAATATATCGGTTATTTAAATTTCAAATTTTTTATTTATATATTTAGACATTGTTAAGTGTACGACAATTTGTTTGTTTCAATGTTTCAGCCCAGCACCAAAATGTGCATCACCTGTAAATATGAAAGGTGAATTTATGAAAAAATTAAAATATTCGGAAAACATTCAATGCCAATGGTTACCTCCTACAATTGAACTTCGACCTGTTCATAATCAAGTAGTTTTTGCTGGAGATTCGTTAACTTTAAAATGCAGAGCGCCTAGTATTACAGAAGATAGAAATGCAAAATTGAGTTGGTTGTGGTATCCTAATACTACTACTGAAGTTATGGATTTAAATATATTTACAGATCCACAAAAAAGTTTATCCAATATTAAAATTGATAATAGATACCTTGCAGACAGTGGGATTGTAGATAGGTATGTTTATATTTAATTCAACTTAGAGTAATTAAATATTTTCTAGAGTCATTAATGAATAGTAATATCATAATTTTTTGCAGCTCACTTAGTATTGTTCCAGTCAAGGAGGAGCATAATGGACAATGGAATTGTTTATTGCTTTCTATAAATGGCAATAGATCTAAAGCAATCAGTGTAATTGTTATCTCTGATCAAACTCGTTATTGTCCATTAGCAGGTAAGATATATTGTAAGTTTTGAATTTCTATGTAATTTTATAATTAATAAATGTGTTACAGTAACTAAAAACAATAAAGGCATTTATACATGGCCAAGAACTGTGGTAGGATGGAGAGCAGAATTACCTTGTGAAGGCAACCATTTATCTGGTTTAATGCAAATGCCTTCAAAAGCCTCCTACCAGTGTAATATCACAGGCTATTGGGAAAATTTAAACACAGAGTTATGCCCTTACATATCACACACGACCAAAAGCTTAGAACAATTTTCTAAGGTTAATCTTTCACTTGCAAAGATTACTTTATTAGAAACTGCGAAAAAATTAAAAAATTTCACAGTACATGGCATAAAAGTAACTGATCCTGTTGAAGTAAATTTTATAACAAAAACTATAGAAAATTATTTAAACTTTTTAGTCGAAGAAAAGGAACTTGGTGCTATATTAATTGATGTTATCAGTTCAGTCATTAATTTACCAAAAAACATCTTAAAAAGGGCTGAAATTTCTTTTAAATCTTGTACGCGACTAATAAAAGCCGTGGAAAAAATTGTAGAATTTACTCCATCAATACAATCTTACAAAAAAAATATGGCTCTAGAAGAGTTCAGAGTTAAACGGAATAGTTTCACTGGTTTAATATGTACATGGTATTCGAATGCTGCTTTTATTGGCGATTCAGAATCAAAATTTCTACAATGTACGACAAATAACAGAACTACTCCCGTTAATATAAAAGACAAAATAATTGAAGCCTCGATACATTTACCTACATCTTTATTAGAATACTCACAAGAAGCCATTGTTCATCAACTAATGATTTCCGTGTACAGCAATAATAAATTGTTTCCTAAAATTCTTAACACTGATACTATGGATATTACATCGTGTGTTATTGGAAGCAAATTATGTATGTATTAATAAATAATGTAAAGAACATTTATTAAAAATGAAAGGAAGCAATATATAATTCGAAGTTTATTTTCAGTTGGAGTAGCAGTGCAAAATTTAACTGAACCAGTATACGTCATGTTACGAGCACCTTTATATTACTATGCCGGAAAGAAACTATTGCCAGTGGTTTGGGATGAAACATTGAATAAATCTGGTGGATGGACGAGTAATGGATGTTATTTAAGAAATGTATTGAACAATTTAATAGTATTTCATTGTAATCGTTTAGGATATTATGGGCTTTTACAAGATACTTCTTACCTTGATCAAGATGGTAATAGGTATGTATTTAACAAATTTTTGATATATTCTCTTCAAATTTTATCATTCTTTTTCTTTTAGTATGACCGGAGCAAAATTTAAATACTCAAATCCAGCAATATATATTGGAAGTATCGTAACAATAACGTGTCTAATTATTACATGTGTAACATATATTATTTGTTACGCATCAATTACTATGCCTAAGAAAGCAAAACATTGTGTTATTAATACCTGGTTTGCCATGGCATTATTGTCATTTTCTTATAGCATTGGTATTCACCAGACAGAAAATATTCAAATTTGTCAAGGTGTTGGTCTAACACTTCATTACTTGTCTTTATGTTCCTTATTATGGATGGCAGTATCTGCTAGGTAATAATCTTTTACATTTTTCAAAAACAATTTTATCCAAATTATGTAATGCAATATAACTATTACAAATTTAATTTATTTACAGTAATATGTATAAAAAGTTTTCAAAGTCAGACCTTGAAGATATTCCAGATAATGAACTACAAGATCAACCAATACCAAAACCATTATTAGGTCTTTATTTGGTTGGCTGGGGTATAGCTATGATAATCTGTGGTATATCTGGAGCGATAAATCTACGAGAGTATGCAGGATATTCATATTGCTTCCTCACGTCTGGTCCTGCTCTTGCTGCTCTGTTTCTTCCAGCTGGAATCCTAATCGTATATCTGATTATTTTTCATTTGCTCATTAAGTGTGCAATTCAGAATGTTGATGTAAATACTCAGTTATCTGAAGGCACGCAAGCTACAGAAAATATGGATTTAGAATTATTGGAACCAAGTACGAATCTATCTGCGAACAGAAATAGTATACACAGCGCACAACTTTCTTCCGATATTGTGGATTCAGAACATTCTCAAATAACACAGTTAAAAGGTCAGATTATTATGTTAATTCTATATCTAATATCGTGGATTGCTGCAGCGGCAGCGATTACAAAACCATTAAGCGCATATATTTCTTTTGATGAGATTGTATTTGCTACTTTATATTCTCTTTTTTCAAGTTCTCTTGGTGTTTTTGTACTTTTCTTTTATGGAATAGTACGAAATGATGTTAGGTCACAGTGGTTGAAAATGCGTTGCTGGCTTCAAAAGCGAAAGAATCGATGTTGTAGAACGAGGAGCATTTCTGACGCAAATCCCGTAATTCCAACACATCCTTTAGTACAACATTTGGTACCTCCATTGTCTAATTCCCAAGCTACACAAGTAACATCCGATTCGAATTCCGTTGGGTCATCAAGATGTACTAATAGATCGCAAACTTGTAATGCTTTAAAATTTACAGATATTATGAGCAACCAAGAGGCTTTACCTGTTGGTAGAAAAATGGCAAACGTAAATTTAGTTGTTTTACATCGACAACAATATAGATCTAACAATTCTGTTACAACATATACTGAACCAACTTGTGTCGAAATGTTTTACAATCCTCATCAAAGTGGAGTTGCTAGAAAATTTTTTAGAAAACAACGTCGCCATACGAAAAATAATAATCTCGGTCCTAGAAAACAAGGCGACGGTGGTGCAACCAGCGATGCTGGAAGTTGCATTTCAGTACCGCGACCTGCTGCAAAATTAGAAAGTAATATAGACCAAACTATCTTAAGTACTAGTGCGAAAGTAAATAATACAAATATTCACGTCGAACTGAATCCCATAAACGATGTTAAAAATGTTAACATTCTCTCAGATAGCGGTGGTAGTGTATCGGAAGAAAGAAGTGTTCCAATGCGTTTTGTTATTGGCCATGAAAGTCTTCTTCGAAATGTGAGAAAAATTAACAACAATTGCAGGTTGCAAGACCCTGTAAGTGTTAGTACAGTATTACATTCTCCAAGAAACAGTTCTTGTCAAAAACTAGAAGTAATAAATACAACTTCCCACGATTCGGATATAGATATAAAAACTGACGAAGAAAAACACTTGCGAAATGTTTCACAGCAATGTAGTTTAGAATATAGTTCTGAAGTAGAATCTACTACCCAGATGACTAGTGAGAAAAGTGATCATAATTTACCGGAAATTTATGAAACTGCTGAAACAGTTGTGGAAGAAAAATTTGTAAGAAAAAGATGTCAAAGTATCAATGAGTCCCATGAAGCAGCAGAACGACTCTGTAAAACAAATTTAAAATGGTTGTCTCATTCGAATAGTATGTACTGTCTTCCAATAGACACTGTGAAATCGTTAAAAAATAATTATCATAGTTCACTCAATGACATTTCGTCTCTTATTAGTTCAAAGAATTGCAAATATTTAAAACCATCATTTACAAATTTACAAAGTATTACAAGCTCAAATTTGTACGATCAAATTTCTCTTTCTCAAAAATCACTTAGCCAGTCTGAATTATCATTTTCTGAAGTAAATAGTTTTACTAGTGATAATACGCATAATTTAGAAGAATCAACGAGGGAACATGTTAATTCTTCAATGAATATTGAATGTATGTCTAATGTGTGTACTAATGAGTACAATTTTTGTTTTACTGCAGAAGTGACTTTACCTAGTTTAAATTGTACAAATGTTTCGCAAGATTCTAAAGAAAAGACTACCAACTCTTTGACTGATATTAGATCGCTTATGTCAAGTCCTTGCAATATTGTAAAAAGTTTTGACTCTGCCAATGAAGTAGAAAGTGTAAACAAAAATACAAACTTAGATAATTTACAACATATTGAAGTCGGTAAAATATACTTGAAAAATCCAAATATTTATCTACAAGTAGCTAAAAAAGAAACAAGTGTTTAATTTGATTGATTTACTTGCATTAAATGACGTATTTATTTTAATAAAGACATTTCATTCGGAAAAAGAAACATAATTTCTGCATATGTTTACATTTGTATCTAGGAAACTATCATCTACATTATTCTATCAAATTACTGTTTTTACAGAGTATAGTTCCTACAATGATAAAAATAATTCTTTTTTTACAAAAATCTATTTTCCCCTAACCTTTCTATTTTTTGCTGAATGCCAAATATTTGTTTAGCTAGAAATGTAAGACATTTGTGTCACAAACTTATCAAAGTATTTATTTATTCAAGAAAGAATGTACATAGTTAATACAAACGAATTTTATACTTTTGCAATTACACTTTGTACATCAAACTAGTTTCTCATTTCATCCTAATGTTTACACAGAGGATAAGACATTTAGCATTTATGTAATCATAATTTATGTTGACACATTCATTAATATTTGTTATTTTCATATATCTATTTCTTGAATTGAAGTTATCATATATATCTAATACAATTTCATTATTATTTTATATCGATCTTTTTGTACTAATAGTATATACAATTTATATTAAAATATAATATTTTTACATAACTTTAGCCAGCTTTTTGCAACTTTTAAAATGTGTTCTTCTAAGACTGAATGTTTTGCTAAGTAAACTGAGATTATATCAAATTTTTAATACAATGACATTGTGTGTTATATATCCTTACATACATAAAAATCGTCTCATTTAATCGTGTACTTCGTAAATATTATACATTGTAAATAGTTTTCGATTTTATTTTTAATATAAATAAATTTATGTATATTAAACAGTATTTGTAAAGATCAGTAACTGATATAGTAAAGTTATTTTATATAATACTTAAAATAACATTAAGAAATTGTATACGCGTATGCACCTGCTCATACACATTCGTAAAATATGAATATTACTTTTATAGAAAGTATATCAATATGAAACGTAGTTTTCATTTATAAAATAGTTTATAGTTTATGGTAGTATTTAATTCTTTAAATACTTAGTGTACAAATGTATTCATTTTATGTATTCAAAAATATATTTAAATGTATTAAAAGTACAGCTGTATTTTATACAATTTTAGATTACTATTACATTTTTACCGTTTATTTCATTTCTTTATTTGTACCCGTGCTTGTATACAGCATAAGAATGGAAATTGATTCACTGATCAAACAGAAGATATAATAAATCATAAACATTTAAGTTTATATTATTCATTTAATGGTAATTCTAATAATAAAACCGGTAATATTCTTTATATACAAGATATTTTAACATGATTTCTACTGTATGTAGAATATTAATGTTTTCATCAATTATCCAACCAATTCTTAGGATTTTTTAATATAGCAATAAGTTTTGCTTCTTTTGATCCCGGTTCTGGTTCATGCATGTATTGCCAATTTGCAGTTAATGGTAGAGACATTAATATACTTTCATATCGTGCACCAGGAGTATATAAACCAAATTTTGTACCACGATCATATATTAAATTAAATTCCACATATCTTCCTCTACGTAATAACTGCCATTGTCTTTCAGCATATCCATATGCATCATTCATATGCTTTTCAACTAATGGAATGTAAGAAGGAATAACAGCTTCTGCACAAGATTTTATAAATTCAAATCCTTCATTCTGGTTTGGCATATCAAGATCATCAAAGAAAATACCACCAACACCTCTACGTTCTCCTCTATGTGTAATTAAAAAATAATCATCACACCATTTTTTATATTTTGGATAGTAAGATGGATCATGTTTATCACATGCGGCTTTTAGAGTACTGTGAAAATGTTTTACATCATCTTCATTTAAATAATAAGGTGTCAGATCAGTACCACCTCCAAACCACCACTGAATTGAACCATCATGATTTTCAATTTCAAAGTAGCGATAATTAAAATGTATTGTTGGAACCATGGGATTACGTGGGTGAATTACAGCACTTACACCAGCTGCAAAGAATGGTGTAGGTTTTTTGTCATCCATTACTTTTCCACGTGCTCTCATTTGCTGCACTGCACTTGGTGGTAATGTACCAGTAACAACAGATACATTTACACCAGCTTTTTCAAAAACATTTCCATCTTGTAAAACACAAGTAATTCCTCCACCACCTTCCTTTCTGGTCCATCGATCAATCTTGAAATGATAATTTGGATCTTCTAATGACTCTAAAGCTCTACAAAAATCTGCTTGAGTTTTCATTACTAACAATTCTACTTTTTTCCTCATATTATCATTTTTCTGTAATTCCTTAACATTTGTAATAGGTTCTGCCATGAATTTTTTTATGTCTATTTCATTTTGTGCTGCAAAAACTGTAATTCCAGAAACACTATAAGCCATAACTGCTGTGAAAACGCCAGCACCAATATATTTAAAATTTCTAATCCTATTTTGGACTTTATAATGATTACAAAGAAAACGTAGAGAAGTCCAATTTCTAAATAATGTTCGGGCAACCATGATTACCTGCAATTCATATTACTTATAAATATAAATCTCAGTACATTACTTATGATAACGAAACATCGAATTTTATTTATTTTTACTTTTAGTTTTATGATAATGACTAGCAAATATTTATAAGGTTAATTTCGAATTTCAATTTAAAATTTGTAACAACCAATCTTTTAAAATTAATTACTAATACTATGATTTAAAAAATGAACGATACTTGCCGTTTTCTTATTTCAAAGAAATCTATGTATAAATATTACAACTATATATTATAATACTTTTTGGTTATACAAATCGTAAACAACTTCATTCATATCTGAAATAGGAAAGTTCATGAAAAGTATATTATACAACACGTGACATTTCTAAATGTATAAAATTTCGATATTTAGTTAATTACCAAGAAAGTACATTTATTATTCCTATGAATTGCTGAGACAGCTGTACAAAAGTATTATACTTACCACATATACATAACCAATTGTATATGCCTTCCTCAAACCAATCGCACAATAACGAAAAATAATATAATTATACACGTCGTAAATGTCATCCTTTTTCTCATTTTAAAAGGAATTAAATGTTTACAATAGGTAAACAATATATCAAAAACGAAATATACGTATTAGGTTAATTAAACGTCAATCGGTATTTTATATATATATATATATAAATACATGTATTTATAATTAATATTTTTCCTTCTCTAAAATGTGGTTTAATAAAGCATCCAATCAGTTTCTCAGATGTCAACGAATTTTGGTATGTTATAAATTTTCTTTTACAAAATTCATCTTGGTTTTTCATTGAATGTAATTTCTTTGTTAGATTTAATTAATATTCTACTATGCATACTTTATTGCAGTTCAGAAAACGATCTACACAAAGTTATGTAGATCCACTACAGGAAATTCCAGAACCTGAATATAATATAAACTTTGTATGTAATCCATCAAATCGTGATACCATTTTTAATAATATATTGGCAAGGAAAGGTGTTGGAGATATTGATAAAGTTCTTGAGTTGTCAGGAAAACCGGAACTAAAGGAATCTTTTTTACAAGAATTAAGCAAAATTCCAAATCAAACAGATCCAGCAATATTATCTTATGGGGATAAACCACATTTAATAAAGGAATATGGACAAAAACCCGAATTTGATTTTGAACCAGAAGAATTTAAGAAATTAGTTACAAAATTAAAATTATTTAGATCACAAAATTTAGGTCCCATAATAGGACAAAGAGGATATATACTTGTAGGAGACTTGGCAGAATTAGAAGAAGCATTAGTTTGTTACACACTTAATAAATTAATAAAATATGGCTTCAAATTTGTTTCAGTACCTGATATTATTCCTACTAAAATTATAGAGAGGTGTGGATTAATATCAGATAATAAACGAACTCTAACATATAATTTAGATTCTTCTTATGGAGATAATTATAGTTTGTCTGGAACAGCAGAAATGTCATTAGCGTATAAAGTAATGAATAATACATTTTGCATTGAAGATTTGCCATTAAAACTAGCTGCTGTAAGCAGATGTTTTAGAGCAGAAACATCTCGTATCATGGAAGAAAGAGGAATATATAGGTACTATTTCATTATATATATTTAATATTGATATTAATGTTGTATATTTGACAACCATTATAATTTAAGAATTGCTCACATTAAGATTTGAGCGTTTTATTTTAATTGTTTTATTCATTATAAGGGTTCATCAATTTACAAAAGTTGAAATGTTTGTGTGTTCTGAGCAAGAAAAATCCAAAGAACAATTTCAAGAGCTTCTGACAATTCAAGAAGATTTATTTTCTTCTTTAAATTTACATTTTCAAGTGATTGACATGCCATCACATGATTTAGGATCTCCAGCATATAGGTATGTAATAGATAGTTAATTATATATATATTTGACGAAATTTTAATCTGTTAAAAACTATTACAAATTTTATGTATTTAGGAAAGTTGATATGGAAGGTTGGATGCCTGGAAAGAAATTCTATGGAGAATTATCTAGTTGTAGTAACTGTACAGATTATCAGTCACGACGACTTAACATAAAATATAAAGCGAAGAACGGAGAATTCTTACATGTTCATACTTTAAATGGAACCGGATGTGCGGTTCCCCGAATGTTAATAGCTCTTTGCGAAACATATCAAACAAAACATGGTCATATTAGAGTTCCTGAAATTTTAGTACCTTACATGAGAGGGAAAACGTTAATTAAAACACAACCAGTTGCCGACATGAGAACGTACAAATACAAGTTTAAACATTAATGTATTGTATATATCTTGTTCTAAAATATATATAAAACTTCTACAAATATCTAGAGTATTTAAAGTATAATTGATTTTTTTTAAGTACGAGAGTATCTAATATATAACGTTAGAAAATTTTAACTTATTTTTCAAATTACAAAGTTAACATATTTTTTATTATAAAAATTGTCAATTTCATTGCAGGAAATTAGGATTTACCAAAACTTCAAATATAAAACACCACCTGACAATATATTTTCTATAAACTAGTACAATATTGTTATACAAAGAAAGAGGGTCTGAAAATTATACATACACAGGGATAAAAATCTATTCTTCGATAACTTTTTTTTGTTATTCTGTATATATTTTGTAGCGGTGTTATAAAAATGTAACACAAAATATTTCTTCTTAAAGTAATACAATTTAAAGACATTGCAAATTTACAATTTATCTCCCACACTAATCAGATGTTAGTATAATGTCGTTTCCTGTCTATGAACAATTAAAAAGTTTTATGTACTTGTTTCGTTATACTATGCCTCGCAATAATACGAATTTTAGTTTTCAAAATTCCTATTTGTCAGTATAATCCAATTGCAATTTACGTCAGATTCATTTTCGAAATTTCGAATAAAGTTCAAATAGGTTACTTTCTGATGATGGTTATATTATTCTGGAATGAAAGAAAAAATTTTACAGTTAAAAGAAAAAAATCCAACACGTTAAAATAACATACTTTTGTTGTTTCTCCTCTTCATCTTCTCCATCTTCCTCTTCTCCAGATTCAGATTCTTCTTCGGCTATTTGCAACCATTCTACGAACTTTTTCATTTGATGCAAAAAAAGCAGTTTTCCTTTAACCGAATGGCCCTCCTTATACCACTTTAAAATCACTTCTTCTGATATTACATCGGCTGAAATAAATAAAATATATTGTTAAAAATGAGGAATAAAAAAGAAATATTACGAAATCTTATGCATGTTGTGTAGTCCAATAGAACGTACTTTTATAAAATAGTAAAACAATTTTTTGGAAGACTTTCATAAAGTTCATATTTTCATAACAGAATTCCTGGACCTTGAGAATTAGTGCAAGCTCAGATCTGGCAGTGACTGTAAAAGCATCAAATAGTGGAGTATACACTTTTAAATGTTTCAGTGCTTGATCAGCTACCAATTCTTCCTTTTTATTCCATTCAGCTTGACCCATTACGACTCCCCAAATCTGCAAAAATTGTTGATGTTTTTCTTTAGAGTAAGCCAAAATAATAATACTAATAAAACTATAATTACCAGGCCAATAACTTCATGTTCCGGAATGCCACATCTCTGTGCCATTTCTTTGAGATCAAATATAATATCTTTCATAGGGCGATTTTCAGCTAAATCATCCAAGAGCAATTGCTGTAAGTCTCGCTTTGCTTCTTGGCTTGCTTGAGCTTTGTGCAACTTCACAATATCCGCAAGACCGACAGCTTCAAATACAGATTGAAAATACTCCTCTGTTCGTCTATTAGGTGGAACAAATTCCATCAACCTGTTAATTATCAGACAAGAAAATAATAAATATAAGACAAAATTTAACTGTGTATGTAATAATTAATTGTTGATAACTTGTAAAATGTTTCTGTACCTTCTTTCAATATTGCCTTTTTTCAATGCAGTCATTAAACTAGATAAACCTTTTTCCTCTCTCCAGGTAACAAAAACCTCTAGTAAAAAGTCTAGTGCTAAGTTATCCTTGACAAGATGTTCATTAAATAAAACTGAAAGGACAGAGGGTGGTACAGAACCATTTGAAATCCATAGAGCTGTCATTCTAGCCAATTTTATTCTTTCTTTAGGAGTAAACCCCTTCATAAAAACCAGTACTTTTTTCATTTCATCCTCAAACATTTTTTCCAAATATTTATAACGTCGCATAAGTTTGATGAAAACCTAAAAATAAATTTACATGTGGGATAGTATGATGAAAAATTAATAAATTTTCTCTAAATGTATATTAAATATGATCTATCACTTGTTCAAAGTTGCGCATTGATTCCATATCCTCTGGTTGTTCAAAGACACAAGCGGTAGTTTTAACTGGTTTATCACCATCTTGAGCAATAGAACCACCTGGGACTAAAAGACCCCCAGCTATTAAGATGTCAAATAGGTCTTCTCCATATCGGCGGTAATCTAATTTAGAACCAGCTGCATCTAAGTATTTTGAAATTGCATCTAGGTCGTTATCAGCCTTTTCCAAACCATGTATGATTGCATCTCGAAATCCCGTTGGATCATACTTTTCTCTTTCATCTAATTTTTAATTTAATTTTATTAAATTAGAAAATACAATTTTCCATAAAAATTACTTTAAAAACATCTTTCTCAAAACGTACCTCTTTTTCTGGTCTTTATGCGTTGACCCGATAATATTGGTTTTTCTATTTTTTGACTCATACAATACCCTTCTGAAATCGTAGGAAGCTTAATAAATATACTGAAGATGTGTTTTTAATTGTTATGGCTTAAAGAAACTTCAATTTCAGACTGTGAATTTATAAGGTACTTATAAATTATAATACTCTCATGTAAATAATTGCATAAATTATTGATAATTCCTTCTGTCATGTATATAAAATTAATTAAATATAGCTTTACTTCAAAGTATTTTTATTCGAAAGTAAGAATTGAAAAGCGTTAGAAAGTCGAACGAGACTACCAACGCGACCACAATGCGCGTAACATTTAACTTCAAAGCTGTCGTTGGCAGATCCCTGACAAATGGCGACTTTTGTTAAATACATCGTCGTATATCACAATTTATGGCCGTTAAATATTTTGTTAGAAGGATCATTATTATAAATCTATGTGAAAAATTCGAATTTTAACTAATTTATTATTTCTAAGGTTAAGGTCACGCAATGAGACCACGATGGCTGAAATCTATAAAAATGTTAAGACTTCTCGAAACGAATGGATTATCCCAGAAGCGTGAAAATATTATTCAAGAATTAAAGCAGTATGTATTTCTTAACTTACATAAATGCACGTAGAACTGTAGAACTACCCTTTTCAGGTGTACAAGGGTAATACGAAATATCTCAAAAAAGATTTTGAGTACTCGAGATCAGAGAATCCAAAGAGAATCAATCTAAGGAGAAGTCACGATTGGTCACAATTGACAGGGAATAGATAGGATACTCGAACTTGTGTTTCATAACGTGTTTTTAACGCCACCTAAATGATTGAAGGTGAAAGAGGGCGCTAAAAGCAGCGTATGTGGCGGTGACAACCCTCTTCGTGAACTACAATCACCAGAGGGCTAAAAACACATAGTAACTATGACAACACATCCGCGTGAATTTCTATTTAGTTCGAAGTTGTTATTTAATTATGTTTAGGCGGAACGCGCTCAAAGTACAGATTTACTTAATTTAACTTGAAACTAATAGTAATATAAAGATTTACTTTGGAGATGACATAGAAGTGTGATGGCTATAGTCTCTTCAACCTGTACAACATCGTGATTGTGAATCCAATCTATGGTCTGTTCTATGGGCGATAGATGGATCTCATGGAGACTACCATTTTTGGAATGGCACGGCCTGCGTAAAATGGTGCAAAATACGAAAGTACTAGCTAGAGTTAGTAACTACATCACTGATGAACAATGAGTTAGTTAGTTGTTTATTTTCTTTAGACACATAACTTACAAGTTTTGGTGTATGTCTGAAGATGGCGTTTGAGGTACTACTTTCCCCCCTCTTGCCCAACGAAAATGTAGTCATTTGACGGGTGCACACCTCTCTCCTCATCTTTTAATATGTATGTATAATACAAAAATAATAATACAGAGTGTCCCAAAAATGTTGTAACACCTTGAAAGAGGTGGTTCAGGAGGTGATTTGAAACAACTTTTTCCTTAGCGTAAATGTTGTCCGAGATTTCGTTAAGGAGATATTAACGGAAAACACTGACCAATCAGAGCGCGCGGATACCGTTGGAGCGGCCGCGGTAGCAAAGGCTATGTGCTAAGCGGCCGCGTTCAATGTCCTTCGATGCACGTCGAGTCGCTTGTTCGCGTACAAGCGCGGCCGCTTAGCACATAGCCTTTGCTACCGCGGCCGCTCCAACGGTATCCGCGCGCTCTGATTGGTCAGTGTTTTCCGTTATTATCTTCTTAACGAAATCTCGGACAACATTTACGCTAAGGAAAAAGTTGTTTCAAATCACCTCCTGAACCACCTCTTTCAAAGTGTTACAACCTTTTTGAGACATCCTGTATTTCCTTAGTTATAACGCAGGTACATGTTTTGTTTCGGTTTTACTTTCCTAGGTACTATATCCTTATAATCTATTTTTGCTGATGAACAATGACTTCGTTACACATTTGGAAAATTCGAGTACATCTATAGTTATATAGTTCTGAACATTAATTATATATTATTAATATGTTACGAATTTGTATAAAAGTAGTTAGTTTGTTGCAAGAAAACGGGTGTTCGATCCTGCGAATCTGTTTTTACCTTCTATCCCTAATATGTAAAAGTAGGATATCGATATAGGATGACGCCATCTAGCATCAAAAGTGGTAACTGGGACAAACTCTTCTCAGGTCTTCTAGTCACTTCTAATTTTCCAGACACAATCAGACACATTCAAATAATTCAAATGCCGGTAGTGTCCTAATGGTAACTGAGTTGAAGATTTTTATTACTGCATTTTTAAACTTTCTTAAATACAATATATATTTCTAATTATTTTTCATTCAATTGATAGACGTTTTGCGTTCGAGGAAGAAATAAATATATCTATATACAAACTTTCGTAGGTAATTCTTTGTTCTGACTAGTACTGATGGTCACAAAAGTAGAGCTTAGGGGCCCTGGTAAACGATGGCACATAATAAATCTAATGGTTTATTAACAAACAGGTGAGAGTTAGACATTCATAGTGATTATTATTTTAAAACTGGTCGCACGATCTTAGATTTCAATTGTTTGTCGTTTCAGTACGCCTCGTATTATTAATTAGCGGTTACAGTACGTGACGTGTGTATATTTTTTTTTTGAGGCAATTTGCACGTGTTGTTAACGATTTCTTTCCTCTTTATTTTTTGTATAAAGTAAAGCGTATATATTTTTCTTGCCATTTTTTTATTCATGTATACATTTTTTATTTATTGTAGTTCTAGCAAAGAATTCGCACTGTATGTGAATAATTTACCTGTTGAATTAAGTGAGGTATGTATATCAAAAAATGATTAATTGTGGTATTAAATATAAAAATGTAGTAGTATTTCATAAATGAATAAATTAATGTTTAAGATTGGATTTAAACAAATTTTTAATCACTATGGAAAAATCATTGGACATCTTTACCGCCCAAATACTACTTGGGCTTATATTACGTATGGAAAGTATAATGAAGCTGAAGCTGCAATTAAAGATTTGAACAATGTACCGCCATTGCATTTGAAAATATCATTTGCCCATGAAAAAGGATCAAATAAAATGGAATTTGTAAAACCACCTGTTTCTCAGGATGTAGTGCAACAAGAGAGTTGTACTGTTCAAGATAAACATTTAAATAAATCTTCGTAAGTAGATATTTACATACCATTTTTTAATAGCATTATCGAGTTAAATAAATGTAAAATGAAATTTCTAGTTAATTTAAAATGTAAATGATAATTATATTTTTCTATGTATGAATTGACAAACTATGTGCAATTACATATAGCATTCAAACAAAAGAACAAGGCAGACCCTCAGATATGTTTAAAAAACTAGAATCAAAAACAGGATTTCCAACATGCACTTACACACCAGATGATGATTTATTATATTCATATCCTTCTGATTCATACACGTACAATCCATATGAAAAAGCAGATCCATTTGATAGTACACACGCATTATGGACAAGGTACTGTTTGATAATTTATACCAAATGTGTGCATATTTCATGTACAAGCATTTTTTTCTCTTAAATATGTTAGAGGACAATTAATGATTACACCAGATTGCAAACGACATGTCTCGCTCGGGCGAGGGTACACAATGTATGAAATCCCAGACCCAAGTCCTGAAATTCAAAAGCAAATCTGTAAGGTGCATGAACTGCGTACAACTGTATGTACAAATATTGTTAAATACTTTTAATACAATTTTGAAGTATTTGTGGCTATGTACTGTAATTTGATTTAATAGGGCTTGTACGAATATGATAAAGACATGTTAGAAAATTCTATTGGAAAATGTGAAACATGTGGAAATATAACGAAATTTACCTGCGAAAAATGTCATACTTTCTATTGCAGTAGAAAGTGTCAAAAAGATAATTGGCCACAACATAAATACGTATGTCAACCCATTCCGTAAGTATTTTTCATATATTATGCTATTGTTACAAATATTGAGTCCTGCATGTCTTAAAGTTCTTTGCTTTTGTTTTTTATTTTCAGAGCACTAGTATCGACCATCAATTCTACACATCTATCACAACCAAATACTGAAGGATATATACCTATTAGAAGTAAGGGTATTATTCAAACACCTCTCCGCAGACCAAGAAAATCTGTAGATTCTGCAACATCACTAAATAAAAGTTTAAATACAGTCTCGAAAGACCAAGATACAACTGATGTACAAGTAACAATTTGTAATGATAGCTCGCAAAATAGTGAGTCAAAATGCTTTAAAACTACTGATCAATTTGACACATATCAGAAAAACAAAGCAAAAGAAAAAGTGCCGTTTCCTATGTACAATGAAACTAATTTTCAATCTAAGGGAACTGGTATGACAAATATGTCAAACTTCAAACATAAACATATTATTCATGGAAAAAATTCCTCATTTGAAAAGTCACAAGAATCTCTTACATGCTCCGATAAAGTGGCAGATGATAAAAAATCAGACAGTATTAAAAATTCTACGAAAAAACAACAATATGTAAGTGCTGAAGATGTAATGAAGATAGAGGAAGATATAGCTTTCTCAAAACATGCATTTTTATCAAAATCAGGATTTACAGAAGTACGAATAATTGTGAATATGGGTCGTGAATGTTGGATTCAAAATGTAGAAAATGACGAAAAGCTTAGGGAACTAATGAGTACTTTACAATCTGAAGCAGATAAAGCGGAGAAAGTAGTACCAGTACTCGGAAATATGTATGCTGTTAAATATGAAGATTTATGGCACAGAGGTTTAATTAAACAAGTAAAACCTTTAATAATTCATTACGTGGATTACGGTAATGATGACTTCGATAAAACAAATGATGTACGTAAACTTGGACAGTTCCAAAATATTCCACGATTTGCTGCTACAGCTCGTTTATCTGAAAAAGCAAGTCAAAAATACAAACACCTCACATATGGGGATATAATATTTGTAAAAACGATATCCGTTGATTCGAATAACGTAATTAATGTTGAAGTTCAGGGTGAGAATGATGCGCCGATACTAGAAGTAGATCGAGTACCGATGCCACAAGTAGATCAAGCGCCGATACCACAAGTAGATCGAGCGCCAATATCACAAGTAGATCGAGCGCCAATATCACAAGTAGATCGAACACCTACAACACCAGTATCAGACTTAAAATATTCAGTAAACATAATGCCTATAGGAGAAAGAGGAGTTTTAGAAATTCATGCAGAATTAAGTAACAATACTTATAGTGTTACGTTACTATCGAATAATACAATGTCCGAATTTGAGGAACTTTTGAATGAATTGCCTGTAATGTGTGAACAAAGAGCAACAAATTCCGGTTACAAACCTGAAATAGGAAAGCTAATATGCGGCCAAAGGCTCGATGGTGATTGGCTCAGAGGATATGTTTTATCACTTGAATCTCCTTTAAAAATGGTTGTAATAGATGAAGCAAGAATGATGGAAATTAATAAGGTTGTGCCATGTCCTGATAACTTTTTGAAAATTTGTACTTTTGGCGCTAAGTGTAAAATAATTAATGCTGAAAATAAGTTTGATGCTTCTGGACAGTTCGAGTTTAAAGTGGTAACACGAAATGGAGAAAATGAAATTGAAATAGAAATTTATAGAAATAACGAGGAAAAATTGAAAGCTATTGTAACGCCTTGGACACCAATGCCTGAACAAAAAGGAATACAGTATGCTCAATTGAAAAACGACTCCGAGGTTTGCCTGACTGCTTACTGCAATCATGCTTTTCTGTTTGCTCGGTCATTAGTTACTGAAGAAGTGGAACGTTATAATCGTATTATGCAGAACGTAGCAAAATGTGCCCAAACAGCTCCATCATTGAAAGAACCACCAGTTGTTGGACAAATGGTAATAGCTCAGTATATAGATGATAATTATTACCGAGCTATTGTGACTGCAGTGGCAGATGATAAAGTTACGATTTCATATATTGATTTTGGAAATAGAGAAGTTACTAATATGAAGAAACTTAAAATTCTAAACGACAATTTAAAACAGCTTCAATCTTGTACAAGTAAAATAATTTTGAAAGATGTTCCTCAGGATAAACCTATGACGAATGAAATAAGTGATTATCTCAGTAATTTAGTAGGAAGAGAAGTTCCTTTGATATGCACTTTTACTGGTATACCGTCCAAAGATGGTGTTTATCTTAAATCACACGATGGAGACAATATTAATAAGACCATATCTGAACTGCTTATACCAACTTGGAAAAGATCTGATGAGAAAGATCTAACATGCTATACGTTGAACGATATAGCTGTTGCTAGCTTGGGAAAAGTTGGCGATGTCGTTAATGTTGCTGTTGCACACGTTCTTGAAGCTGGTTACAAATATACAATGTATCCATTAGATTATGACTTAATTACTCATATCTCGGATATAATGCCTAAATCGATGGCTAAATATTGTGAATCAAACGATCACTATATTCCCCGTGAGAACGAATTGTGCCTCGCACTTTTCAACGGTGAATGGTGTCGTGCTACTTGCTATCGTCGTAGTGAAACTGCTTCGACGAGCACTGTTTTCTTTATTGATCATGGATGTATTGAGAGCATTAGTCATAAAGACATACGATTAATGCCGAAAGATTTTATGACCCCTAGTGCCCTTATCAGTGTCTGCGACATTGTTAATTTAGCGCCGCTCGATAGCCAAGGAAAATATTCTTCTAAAATTGAAAAAAGGATTTCAGAATTAATCGATCTTAATATTCCTATCGAAATAAAGATTGTTAAGTGTGATGAAAATGCTGGACTATACGACATAGAGTTGCCATCGATTCGAAAGAAACTTGTTGAAGAGGGTCTATTGTAGTTATAATGAAGTATTAATGTTATGAAACTAGGAACTAGGTTTTGTTTAAAAAGAAAAGAAAAATCGATATTTTAAAAAACGTGTTTTTTATACTTTGAAAAATATGATATTGTAAGTCTGAAATTATTTTCTGGAAGCAACTGAGACTAGTTCATTTTCTTTTTTAAATATCGTTTTACTATGTATTTCTATTCAATTATGTTTCGTTTTATGTCTATGGACGCTAGTTGCTTATAACATAATTGAGATACTAAAGAAATAATGTTAATATAATGTTTAAATCTTATATCTACATACTACAGATAATAAATAAGATATACGAATCGTAAAACACCTTAGTGTTATTAATAGTTTATTAAATCATATAATTATTGATAACTCCGACACTTCATGAATTTTATAACCGTACATATACATGTATGTTTTACATAACTTTCATTTAAATTTAGTGAACGGATCATTCAGCCAACCGTATCACTTGAAGTTTGATTATTTACCTTAATTTCTAACCTAACTTACGACGCTGTGACTAACCTGTCTTGATGTGTCAATTCAGTTGACAGATTGCTATAAGTAACCATAAGCAACTGTTCGATTTAAATACTGTGAGGCTTACATACAATAGGGATAGAAACTATGAACGTTCAAATAAGGCACCCTTACGAGGGTTTATTGCATAAGTATACTAATGCCATGAAAGGCTGGCAATATCGTTGGTTTATCCTTAGCCCTGAAACTGGTGAACTGCATTATTTTCTTAGCGAATCTGAGAAAAATCAACGACCAAGATGTTCGATATATTTAGCGGGTGCAGTAATCGCGCCAAGCGATGAAGATTCTAATACATTCACTGTTAACTCTGCCACAGGTACTTAAATGTATTAAGTTGTACAGTATACTATTGTTTACAAACGTATATAATACAGAAAGTCCTCAACTTACGCGGTTAATTTGTTTCGAAGCTTTTAATGTAAATTAAATTTTATATACATAAAAAGAAAAATTGAAGACAATCAAATTTTATCTAACATATGAATGTATACATAAATACAAATATGTACAAGAAGATAGATGGGTATGCAAGAATCCATGTAACTTGAGGATTCACTGCATAGTAACCATTAACACAATATTTTTAATACTGTTCATTCACTATTGCAGGTGATATGATTAAATTGAGAGCTACACATGCCCGTGCTCGCCAAGAATGGGTGGATAAACTACGAGCAGTTACAGAAATGTATACCAGAGCAATTGCCAGCAGCCACCCTCCTCTACCTCCAAGGGAACATTCTTCTAACTCCAACAGAACTCCTGTCGACAAGTTGGAAGTTTTAGATGCTTTTGCTAATTGTCAAGAACAATTGAGGAAAGTAGAAAAGCAGAATCTTGCATTAGCCCAAACTATTGAAAACTCGAGCTTAAACTTGGACCCAGATTTGTTAGTTCTTAAAGCTACAGCTCATACCACACTGCACACATTAAATCAATGCCTTAATATATTATATCAATAATTTTCATTAGAAGTATCATTGTCATTGATAAAAGATTTGCAGAAATGCTTTTATCAATCATTACCTAAACGTATCAAATGCATTTCAATTATTTCCTATGGAATATATTTTAAACTTCTTACTGACAATCCAACTGTATGTTCTTCCAAGTCAGTGATACAGGAGAGTTTGCCTTCTTACTAAATATTAGATAGAAATAAATAATGTGATGTTCGTAGGATTCTTGAATGTAATACTCCCATTCATTCTTTTAAATGTAAAGATTTTTCTAAATCATTACATTTAAAGTATGTAATGCAGTGCTTTCCAAATTAGGGAATACAGATGAAAATTTTGAATAGAAAGAAATGTGGATACCATCTTTTTCCTATTAGGATATTGATTATTGCAGCTTATTAATTGTAGGACTATAATTTTCATGTATTATTTTAAATATACCACTTATCTTATTTAAAAAATGTTTCAATTTCTAAATTTTAGTTTATTTCTTCTTCAAGAAATTTGTTTACAATCCATGAGAATGGCTTTAAAAAAGTTTGGAAACCACTGATGCAAATTGTGAATTTATGACTATACATAAATTTAATATCTTTGAATTAAAGTAGGATTGAACAAACACTTGCTATTATTATATGTAAACCTGTAATAAAAAAAAATAAGACACTTGGTCATTTTTGCTGAAGCAAAAATCAATTATTACAACATGAGCCTTACAGTAACAAATATGTTTATATTGTTAAGTGAAAAAACCAGTCTTTCCGATTGAATTGTCGTTTTTAAGGAAGAAAAACCAAAGCGGCGGTTTCATCTCTGAATAAGTGTCAAGGACACGCCATTAGGTGAAGGTGAACAAGCAGGAAACTTTTACTTTGCTTAAACAGTAGATTCGATCAGTATGATCATCGCGTGGTCCACGTAACGATCACAGTTACGCACTCATGTAATAGAAAAATTTAAGTTAACGTTTTTATGATCGAAATCATGGTTATTAATAAAAAGAGCGAAATGGCTTAAAAATTATTCTATTTTACTTTTAAAGACGTTACTCTCTGCTTTAAGTTAACGTCAAATGTATCTCTTATGATTATTCGAAATATTGGTTGAAAATAGATAAAACGAAATCTAAAAATTAAGAAAAATCTCGGAAAGAAAACAATGTCTATTACACCTAGTCCAGAACTGTTAACTGAAGCTGCTGGCGTCAAGATCTTCATGACGCCTTTGGCAGAAGAAGAATGTTCATCATGTGAGAGTTTAATCTCTGGAAAAATTTGTGTAATGTTGGAAAATGTAAATGACATTAAATCGCACGGCAAATCTTTCGGGTTTCATCTTACAAAATCTAAATGGGATCCTTATCCTTGGGTAAGCTATGTTGAAATTGGAAGTCTTGCCGATACAGCTGGCCTCAGGTAACATTAAATCAAATCTTAAACTATGTGTTATGTAAACTGATAATAAATACAATGAATCATTACATTCCAGAGCTGGTGATTGTTTAATGACCATCAATGGGAAGGATTTGATAGGATTGAAAATACAAGAAATTGCAACATTGATACACTACCATCAGGAATATAATATTAAATTATTTATTTGGAGATGTAGTAATGAAGAATCAAAAGAAGAAGGGATAGCTGTTAAAGGGCCACTGCCAGATGTAGCTATTAAGCTTGCTAATGCAGTGTCTGGAGTTGTGTGTAGTTTAATCTCTCTAAACGGATTTTTTTGTAAAAATTATTTAGTAGATCATTTTCATATTTTACAGATACATTACCACGATACTCTATAGAATTTATTCATTATGTTTATTTAGGTTCGAACTTTAGAATGTCCAGTTTGTTTGGAAAGTTCGACGCCCCCAGTCTCTCAATGTGTTCACGGTCACATCATTTGCGTTGGATGCAGACCAAGGACATCTCGTTGTCCAGTCTGCAGAGTCAGGCTGGGTCAGGGACGGTGCTTGCTCGCAGACAAACTGCATAAAATATTCCGGGAAGTTTTTGATATCAAAGAGAATTCCTCTAAAAGTACAGAATGTCAAACGTGGAATCTTCGAGATCGACTTTTCGGCAAACGCAAAAAGAAACACGTACCATCGGTAACGCCAAAAAGTAACGGTCCAATTCTGAGAGCACGTCAGTTATTATTGAATAAATTGTTTTTCGGTGGGGTGGAGAAAGCTGCCTCAGCAGATAATCTAACAGTGATTACCAATGGAACGTCAAGCGTAAATGAAACGTCGATAAATGGTACAAATATTAATAACTTAAGTTTTGACGAGCGTTTAAGTTTGCATGATCGAGCAAAATCTGCAAGTACTGGAGAATTATCGAAGGAAAGGATGAAAAATGTTATCGATGATCGTTTGCAAATTGGCACAAGTAAAATAATGTCAAGCACTACTAGTCTGTCTAGTATACCTCCTACACCTGTTTGGGGAGGTTCGATGGATTCTGTATCTTGTATACAAATAACGTGTCCACTTTCGAAGCAAAGTGATTGTAAAGACATTATTACATCCGATACATTAATGGAACATTTGAGTGGGTTTCACGAAGTACCACAAGTTCATTTTTATTCTGTTCATGTGCAAATTCCGTTACCGCTTCCTTTTGGCTCCGAAGCTGCTTATATATTACATTCCAGTGGAGACCTTTTCTTCTTTCAGGTATATTTCATGAACTTAATACAAAATTCTTCAATTTGTTATTATAAATATTGTATTACAAATTATGAATGTACAGTGTGATGAAGAAACTGTTTGGATCGCTTGTGCCACAGGAGGAAAAAATTCATGGGAATGGAGTTTACATGGTCAAGGCGAAAACGGCACTGAAATAAAGATACGAAAAAGCGTTGCGAGTCTTGAAAATCCAATGATTTTATCATCGCAACACATTGCACCCTTGCCGAATTCTCTGTTATTACACACTCTGAATATTCAATTATTAGAATGCCGTTCGCATGAACAGTTAGGGTTGTAATAAAGAGTAGATACATTTGAATGATTTAGTAATTTTAGCAACTGTAGAAAAAATAACAAAATTGTTTATTTATTACTTATTATAATTACAGGATAACAAGTACATCGTATTTTATTACAAATATCGATATAGAAGTATCACAAAGTTAAGACCTGACACCTAAGTATATAATATACCATGCATTATAAAATGCATACAATATGTATGAATGTATATGTTCTGATGTTAAAATTAACACCAAATAAAATTTAATTGTTGATACATGCATTATTAACTTTGTAAGATATACAAATAGATAACAGTAGAACATTTGCTGTTTATACCCAAGGCACATAAGATGTATGAATGGCAACATTTGTAAAATTAAGGAGTTTTACGTAATATGTCATCCATGTATGGTTTAAAAAATTCATATTGCCCAGTTCGCGAAGCTTGACCAGCCATTATATCGTATGCATATTTTAATACCGATAAATAATTTTCTTTTCCAACTATATTTAACTGAACATTAAATACGTGGGTATCACAGGAAGGCATCATCTTTTTTCCAACTGGTATACACAGTTTTCTTTTCTTTGTTTCCGGTTGTGGCTCGCCCACTTCTGCCTCTTCCTTTTTCTTATCTCGTTTTGGGCAGCTACAAATCCTAACTAGAAGTCTACGACGACCCAAGACTCTTCTATTGCTATCTTCCATGGTGAAAATTAATTCCGTAGGTCTACGATTCATACCAGATGGACAACTGTTTTTACATAAAAACTTAAAATTCATTAGCACATATTGCGTTCCAGCCTGAGGAGTGCGGAGGGGAGTCAATATAGATAAGTGCTCGTTTCTTTCTTCATACATACTCGAATTATCTAAGCAACGAACGACGTGTTTAATTTTTATCGGATCTATATCTCGATTGCTTGAACTATTCAATGCCATATGGTTATGGCACCTTCGAACTGGGTCACTTGCGTATTGGTCCAAGCTGAATACCATGGTAGTACGCAAGAAAAAACCATCATCAGGTGGGTCCCATTTAAATCTTAGTGGTAGTGTTTCCTCCATATTAATAAATACCTTTCTCAGTAACTGGGAATACTGTACGAAACAACAAAGACCAAATTACATTAAGCAGTTATAAATTTGTTTACAAATTATTATCCAATATAATGAACCATTCATCTAATGAAACACTTACAACCCAATGTTTACTAGAATCCTGATTAGCTAAACTGTACTGAAAATTATAACACCCTGGAAATTCCTCTCTTACAGGAGTGGATGTTTCAGGTTCTTGGTAATCAAGATATTCTTCTTGGTGTTCATTTTTCAATTCGTTTCCTTCTAAGTATTTTTGCGATAATTTAATATTAAATTTCTCCTCTATTTCAATGTCCTCATCCATTACGCTTTCTGCCAACAACGGCAACGTATTCCTCCCTCTGTATTAAACGATAAAAAAAAACACATTGCAAGTACATTTACGTTTCTAACTTATTAAAAAATTCAATTTACTTTATATTGAACTGTTATTTCGATTCCATTGCGCTTATTCGCAGACGAGTATTTCAAGTCTTTTGTGATGTCATTTTACGCATTCAATAGAAAAAAATTAAAATGCCGATGCGAATAAAAATGTAGTAAATTAGCTCTTACATTTCTTTCTCCAATTCGTGGAACGCTTCTTCGTCAAGAAGCGCAGACTCTTGCGAGTCTGAAAATCCGTTTGTATTCGTCATGCCTTATTTATTTGTCAGTTTATTTTATAATAAACCGACAATAAACTCAAACCACGTTGCGGTAAAAAGACGCCATTCGATTCGCGGGAAAATCCTTTGTTCGAATTATGGTTGATTTTCATTTTATGCTACATAAGTTTAAAATTGATTTCAAATTACTTTCTTTCCGAAATAACGTATTTTCTCCAATAGGAATATACATAATGTATTTAGTATTATGTAATTAAAACGAATAAATTGTTTTTGTAGTTTTTTAAGAATAATGTACAACAGTAGTGAGAGCCCTTAGTCTAAACGTTGATTTACATTTCGAATTTTGTTGAAGATTCCTATTTTTCGTCATTTTGCGAAAGTTGCATCTCTGCAATTTACGTATTTCGTGGACGTGTGTCACGTTATTTTATGGCGGGAATAACATGTGGCGCGCCACGGCAATGTACGTCAAACGTAAGAAACAAACGATTCCAATATGGCGAATGTGAGGGACAGTGATACGTCGTTGTGGCTTCATAACAAGCTCGGAACGTCAAACGATAGCTGGACTGGAAGCTCGATTTGTTCACAACTGAACGCAGAAGTATTACGGAACATCAAAGATTGTTTTCCAGACCTCCAGACGCAAGTTAAACTCAAATTACTTCTCTCATTTTTCCACATACCGAGGCGGAATGTCGAAGAGGTAAGCACAGTATGTCCTTTACGGACATCTAAACAAACGTCTTTTTAAATATAGAAACATTGAAACATTTAACGGCGAATGTAATATGCTAGATATTTCATCATATATCGTATATCCAGACACGAATCATAGATCTACCGCTTACTTAACTTTATTTAGGTGTTAAATGTTTTTGGAACGTTTAGTAAATAATCGTGCTCTATATATGACCAATATTTTTCACAGAATTAACCCATTGACTGTGGAGTCAGTGTATGAATTTCACACCCCATGGCGAAATTTTGTAAATTTATTAATTTTAACCTACTTCGCTTCCTAGAACACCGTGTTTATACTTTAGACCAATTTTAATGTTACATTTTGATCGAATGTTTTAAAGACTACTTAGACATGTGAGTAGTTAGTTTTGATGTATAAGAAGAGTAGGCAAACTTGAAAATAAAATAATTTTACAAATGAGTCATCCACAGGCAATGGTTACTTGTTTCAATTTATTAGTTTCAATCATCGATGTTTTTACAAAGATTTAATTCAATTATTTGGGGATATATAAATACTATAACTTGTATTGCAAATGTATAGTGGCGTGTTGAGTTGGAAGAAATCATTGAGGTGGCATCATTGGATAGCGAGCTGTGGGTATCAATGTTATCCGAAGCGATGAAGACATTTCCTTCCACGGGTTCTTTGAATACAGACATCACAGATTTAGACGAGCATCGACCTATTTTTGGAGAGTTAGTGAATGATCTTCGAAAACTTTTAAAAAAACAAAATGATCCGGCTATGCTTCCATTAGAATGTCACTACCTTAATAAGACTGCGCTTATTTCGGTGGTCGGTCAACAACCCACGCCGGTTAAGCATTTTACCTTAAAGAGAAAACCAAAAAGTGCTGCACTGAGATCAGAGCTGCTTCAAAAGAGTACAGATGCGGCGAGTAATTTGAAAAAAAGTACTGCTCCCACAGTGCCTGTGAGAAGTAGAGGAATGCCAAGAAAAATGACTGACACGAGTAAGTTTCCATACATAATTGTGATTAATACCATGTTAAAGAGATGTCAGAAAAATCAGAAGATAACACTTTTTATGATTTCCAGCACCTCTAAAAGGAATTCCTAGTAGGGTTCCAACAAGTGGTTTTCGATCTCCATCGCTTACGAGTTCTTCGATGTCTAATAGAACGCCCCTTAGTAGTAGAATCCGTAAAGATGGCGGAATTAAATTATTAGATATTAACGAGCAACCGCTCGGATATGCTCAAGCAAAGAAACGAAAGAGAATGATGGAACTGGAAGAGCAGCAAAAGAAAGTTGCGGAAGCTCAAGCAGCTGCTGCAGCTGCAGCATCAACGGCGACAACTACCACGGAAACATCAACAACGCCAGAATATGCTCAGGGACTGGCTTCGATTAATCCACCAGCTACTCCAATTACCCCTGTGGCAGCTGTACAATCTTATGCAACACCTACGACTCCGAGCGGAGTATCAGCCGTGACTACACCACAAACCCGTGCGTTTTTATACATGGTACTACTGGAGTGTGTTCAGTGCAGAAAGAAGAATGTATTTTTAATCTTACAGCCGCAACACCAAGTACACCTACAACTCCAACTGCTGCAGTACTACCGGTTGCAACACCTACGGTCATTACACCGGTGGAAACTACACCTGTCGGAGTGCAAACAGTCAGACCAGCTCAAACCATCACACAGATTCGTATACAAACTACCGCACAACCTGCTAACGCAGCTGCGAATACAAGAAAGGGATTATCTCTCACGGTACGCATGAGGACAATCTTCGTTAGAAAAAATAAACAATTCTTTCTCATAAACGGAATCGTAAAATGATTAATGGTGTTTTGTGCTTTCAGCGAGAACAAATGTTAGAAGCACAAGAAATGTTTAGAACAGCTAATAAAGTAACTCGGCCAGAAAAAGCTCTCATTTTAGGTTTCATGGCTGGCTCTAGGGGTATGTATCAAATTCCGATATTATCTAATGCAAACATATTTTTCTTCTTCATGTTTTATTTTTTTGCGTATTCAGATAATCCTTGCCCGAAGTTGGGTAATATAGTCACGGTGATGCTCTCGGAAAATATCGAAGAAGTAACCCAGCCAGATGGAACAACTGTGCCGATGTTGGTTGAGACCCATTTTCAAATGAATTACACAAATGGCGAATGGAAACGGATGAAAAAGAACAGACGAATCGTTACAGAGGAATCTACGTCTGCTACGACACCTGCTCCCAGTGCGACTGCTACAGCTTCCAATTAAGAGAAAACGCTAAATTGTCGTCGAATCGGGAATTTATTGGTCAAATATTCTGTTCTTGGTTGGATGACTCTTTCAAATTTTGTCTTTATAGACAACAAGAGAGTCGAGTGCACGATACACAATATGCCCTGTTTGTCCTATATGGTACGAGCAAAATTGTGTATCACTTTTCAGTAGTAATGCTTTAAAGTATGTACACGTTCAAAGTTACAACATGAAAAACGTTTGTGTTAACCGATAATACGTATAAGAATCAAGGAAAAGTTAGAAGCGGTTGTGACGGACTCGATATTTCTTTTTGTTTGAAGTAATTGTCTAACATCACATATAACAGGTTTCAATTACTACGGAAGCATCAATCCTTGTCTCTAATGGTGTGTCTGGTTTCACCAACGATAAACATATTTTCAAATCGGTTGTCACTCAATTAGAAAGACAAATGCTACTTATGAATAGATAGTGTGATACCTTCCATTACATGGATAACCAGACACTTAATTTAAATGCAATGATTATCGTTCGTAATTTGAATTTATATATGAATATATAAATATATGTTCTCCACTCTAATAAGAACGAACATAAAACTTATAATACTGTTATTTGAATAAAATATGAATATATTGATTAATTTTTGATTTAATTGAATAACCAAATTTAGGGATACGCGTGGTTTATCGATCGATCTTGATTCGATGTGTACGTAATTTCGATATCAAGGTTGTTTGAATGTTGTTCTGACCTGTGTTGCCCTCTATATAGCATTTTATACAAGTACATATAAAGCACTTTCACAAGAGAATAGCTGCAATATTTAAAAACAAATTTCTATCATTAAATAATTATAAACAGAGTTTTAACCAGTTTAAAGAATTCAATGATAGCCTTCGATGTCCTTCATTAAAATGCATCGTTTGTACGAAAAGTGAGTTATATAACCTCTTCAAAATCCGGCTATAAGACATTTCCATCTGGCATTTACTGTTGAGTGAAGTGTTTTTTTACTTTATCGAGATTTAAAGTCTGGTTTCTTTATACACATATTTCTGCGCTGGTCTAGTCAGTAATTCGTACGTCGACAATGTTTCGAGTGTTAATGTCTTTGCGTTCTCAGGCTTGCAAAGCGGTAAGTTACTTAACCTAACGAAAATAATAATAATTTACTTGAAATATTTAGGCATGTGAAACGAGAAGGCACAAGATTTTCTGAGAATTATGATATTTACGTAACGTTTACAGATTGATGAACGTTATATAAAAATGAAACATGTACAAATAATTGTACGTATGTTTAATTTTCAGGCCTTTGTAACAATACCAAGTTTGGTGAAAACTAAGAATCCAACATTGGTAGAAAATGCACGTAGCATTTGTATTAGTTCAAAGCTTTTCTGCTGTCGACCTGTGGTTCAGAAACCTGCTCCTGATTTCTCTGGAACCGCAGTAGTCGATGGGGACTTCAAAGAAATAAAACTAAGCGACTACAAAGGGAAATATGTTGTTCTTTTTTTTTATCCTCTAGATTTGTAAGTTTTCAATTGTTGACAGTCACAGATGTACTAAGTTTTCATGAAACTAACTTTAGATTGTTATTTGTAGCACATTTGTATGTCCCACTGAATTGATAGCATTCAGTGAAAAGATTTCAGAGTTTAAAGCTTTGAATACACAAGTGATTGGAGTTTCAACAGATTCCCATTTCAGTCACTTGGCATGGGTCAACACGCCAAGAAAACAGGGTGGCTTGGGTGGCAATTTGGGCTATCCTCTCCTTAGTGACTTTAAAAAAGAAATATCAAATAAATATAATGTCCTTCTTGAAGATGGAATTGCTTTGCGAGGACTTTTTATCATAGACAAAGAAGGAATTCTCAGACAACTTAGTATTAACGATTTGCCAGTGGGTAGAAGCGTGGATGAAACTTTGAGGCTTATCAAGGCTTTCCAGTTCGTTGAAAAACACGGAGAAGTCTGTCCTGCCAATTGGCAGCCAGAGTCCAAGACCATCAAACCGACTCCAAAGGATAGCAAGCAGTACTTCGAAACAGTGAATTAAGCATCGAATGTAAAATTTTATACAAAGTACAGTGTATTATAATATAAGTAAAATGCTAATATAAATCCCTCGATAATAATTGTAGAAAATACTTGATTATTTGCGAATAAATAATTTCTGGTAATCCCAAGTAATATATTCACATATAAACATGTGGTACGAATTTCTTTTCTTCCTGAATAATTAAATAATAGAAAATACAAGACCATGGATTTTCACAGCGAAATTTTCCTCATCTAATTTCATTTTCATTTCTTCAGCAGTATTTACGATATTGCAATATCCCACAAGTAGCCGTTCATTTTAATTATGGCATTGAATGAAGTTCCCTCTTTTCCAATAATATGTAGACGTAAATAAACGTATGCACATGTCTATAATTGTGTTCCTGGCAAGGCAGAATTTCTCTTAACAAGGTTGATGACATAGTCGCTCGCTTCAATCAGGCGGAAAAGGGTACAAGGGCTCGCGATGCTCGAATAGAAAGTAAGAGGGGAAGAAGAAGGTGCGTGAACGCTCGTATATACGCGTGTGATGTAGAGGATTCAAGGGTGGAATCCGTGGAACCACGATACAAAAGGAGGAGCCAGCAATCTTATGCTGGTTAATTTGATTCTTTGTGGTGATGGAAGTAATAGCGACGGGTCAAATCCTTGCAAGTCCGTTTAGGATTATCCTCTCTTTTCCACGTTTCCGTTACAAAAGTACTTCCACTCGAATTCGCGTACGAAGAAGGAGGGTGTCGTTGAATCTATCGTTAATCGAGCGTTAATAAAGTAAAAATTGTTTATAGATTGAGTCTTAGTTTTGTGTGAGTCTTAGTACGCGAGTTGTACGATAAAGATTTAAAACAAGAATTTTGCAATGTATTTTAAAATTAGTGGAAGAAGGTAGCATTAGTTTCTCGAGAATATATTAAAAATAATTCATGATTTTATGGCCACTATATAAGATATGTTTATACAAATTATTCTCAACTATTGCCTATTTTCAGACCGAAGAAAACAATTAGTTTTTCAAGTATTATTTTATTCAACATAGTCGTGCGTGCAACCGAGTACGCGGCAACTCTGAGATAACAACCGAACTCATAAATAGGTCAGTACGGGTTGCCGCATACTGGTGGCATCCCTGCGACTACGAGATGGCAATGGGAACCGATAAACCGGCTAGTGTAAGTTGCCACATAGCAGGAGAATTTATGCGCCTACGTGATGGCAACCCAACTGACAAGCCAATTAGCGATGGTTGTTATATAGCAGGGGCACCTCTGCGCCAACGAGTAGGCAACCGGACCGACAAGCCAGTTGGTGTAGGTTGTCGCATAGCAGGGGCACCTCTGCGCCTACGAGTAGGCAACCGGACCGACAAGCCAGCTGGTGTAGGTTGTCGCATACCAGGGGCACCTCTGCGCCTACAAAATGGCAACAGAGTAGCCATAGAGTAGAACAAGCGGGCTAGTAGTGGTTGCTGCATACCAGGGGTACCTCTGCGACAACGATCTAGCAAAATGGCTAACTTGGGTTGATATCTAACAGGGGCATACTCGCGCCTACTTAATGAATAAACTTGCGGTAGTAATCGAGTATGAAGAATTACTGAAAATGTTCGAAAATAGTGACGAAGAAAATGTGTTCTCTTTTGTAAGATGTAAGATATAAACTTCAAGTTGTCAATGTTATGAGACGATCTGAACTGTTATCGTTTTTGACCAAATCTCATTAAGATCGAAAGCCACAAATTGGGATGTAGTTTCGGGGAAAAAGGACTGGGCGTCGACGAGAAGGCTGATATCCGAATTCGTGATAAATTTATAGGAGCTTATTATTTCGCGAAGAAGATGCCGGTGACGCCCTAAAATGGAAGGGATATAAAGTAACCCGAGAAAAGAGGGTCGGAGTTTGTCGGGCGGCGCAAGGTAGACTGGAAGCGGGGAAAAACTGAAAAGCGACGCCTGAGATAAACGGCTCATCCTCTCTCACCCTATAAAATCCAATCCTGTCCTTTGCGACCCGAAATCTCAAGATTAAACATATTCGAGCCAGCAGACGCTGTCCCATGTCTCTGAGGCTTTGCGAATTCAACTCCAGACGTGGACGGTGAATATCGTTTGCATCAGTGACTCTTCGCCTAGCGTCTGGATAATTAACAGATCCCTAAGCAGATTCACTGAAAACTTTCTTTTGTAGCCTTAATCTTAGTGACTTTAGTTCTTTTTCGTTAAATGTAAAAAAAGAAACGCCAGTTAGTTTGTAGGTTCGGTTGCCAACTATTAGATACAGGGACCCCCCTGATAGGCGGCAACCGGAGCTACAAATCTGTCAGCGGATTGCGTTAGATCTACTGAGAATAAAAATTCCAATTTAAGGTTCTATATCTTGTATGATAGATACGATGAATTTTCTAAATAAATGCTATCTCCTTATGTATGAATATATATAGGGTGTTTTGTTCACACAAGGAAGATGCCTCTGATAGGTGACAACCGGATCTACCTCAATTTTATTCAAGTTTTATACTTTCGATTCGACTCTTTGTTTATTATTGTATTAGGACAAAGGTAAGACCCGATTGACCATTTCGACTTAAGCAACATAGCAATCGCATAAGGACAAAAGATGTAACAATGATTCACAAGAGTATAAAAACAGGATACCGGCACCTGAAGACAAGACAGGTCCTATACATACAGGGGCAATTTTTCTAGGCGCGACTAATGGGACTGCGAATTGGTAAGTTGATATTTAAAATTGTTGTGGGTGTAACACGCTCAGGTGTTTGACAGCTCTTAAATGACTTGATAAAGTTGAGCTTTTACTCCTTGTTCCACCGAAATTGTATTAGGTGGTCCCGAAAGTTTCTTTCGCGAGTTTGCACTCAATTATTTTATGTGGTCGTGTTTATATAAATAGACAATCTAATTTCATAGTTATTCATGTTGTAACAGTAATGGAGCAAAATGAATCGTGCACAATTAAGTAATATAACATAAAACAAACTATTGTGCATGTATTTCTTATTAATAAAAAACGAAAGAAACTTTTAGGACAACCTAATATTTTGTATTTTCCCCTTTGGTATTTTCATTCTGCGAGTTGGATTTTAATAATCTGCTCTAGCAGCGGAGTCGATTGTTAAGGTCGGTTGAGCGTTAGTTAGGTACAACAAGAGGAGCAATTAGATCGAGAAGCCATACGCAGAGCCCCAGCGATCGCGGAGGCGGAACAAACCTGCGGCGATAGACTAGGAAGTCGATTAGAACAGGAAAATCCCTCCTCCCAGCGACGACATAATCCACGCTCACTCTTAATCGGACGAACGTTGCGACGAATTGGCGAGCGTCGAAAGGAGAATCGATAACCATCAAGGGGGAGAAAAAGAGAAAAAGGAGCGCAACTCGATTCGCAAACTTTCCAAGAAGGGATGAAACGCGAATCAATGGAAAAATCTATCTCGCCATTGTGGCCGCGGTTTAATCCGTAAGCTCCTTTCCGGCGTGCCCGCGATTTCAGCCGTTTATTCAACAGTTGCCAGATCCCGTTTTCATACTTCCTTCCTGAGGAAGCAAAACGTGGCGATCAGAGAGTCGGGAACGTGTCGCAACGATGATGCGCGCGAATGCGAAGTTCTTGACGGTAGAGCGTGAAAGAAGTAGAGAATTAGTGAGAGAAGCAGAGGAATAGTTTAACAAGTTTAATGAGAGATAAAAGATAAGAGCTGCAGGGATGTGAAGCATGTTGGGATTGGAAGCTTGACGAATATTACAACTATTAGGCGAGAAGATCACCTCCGAGAGGGGCATTCAGTTAAATAATTTTACTCGTGGCAGATGTACAGAAGTAGTTTGGATAGAGTTATCTCAATATAGTGCACTTCATAGGGCTGCATTTCATCTTTTTTCATTTCATCATTTTATATGATTCTACTGGTTTTATCACAGAGCATCCGATGCTGGATGCACAAAAGTAGGTTGAATAGATTCATTGAAAGTGTAATTCTTATGGGTACATTCGGTTTAAACGATTCTACTCGTCGCTACATACCTCCATAGTTGCAGTCGCTCTCACCACCGTTATCTTCAATACTCGAGGTTTCGCCGTCTTCCACGTCGCCGATAGTACCGATCGGGGATCGCTTAACGTCATTAGCCTCTCTCCATCTTCTCTCCCCTGCCCCCGAAGGAGAAGAAGGAAAAGGCAGAGCTCGAGCTCGTCGGTTATTGTCAGACCGGCGATCGAAGCGAGCGAGCGCGTCAAAGAGGATCCTTCTATCGTTTCTCGTGAAATAGAACTCGCGTCGTTTGAGCCTCTTTGGCCCCTCGATCCCCTTTACCTCTCCTCCTCCTCCTCCTCCTCCTCCTTCTCCGCCCCTCGGAGCCATCCGCCGTCTTTTTTCCCTCGCGGAGCCGTCTAATAACCTCTCCAGCTGGCGACTGCTCGCGAAAAGGAACATTTTCTTAAAGGAGCATTCAGAGCGCGGCTTGATAGGTGGATATTACGGTCGCTGAATGAGGGGCGATGGGAGGTGGGGGTGGGTTACCCTTGGCGGTTCGACGCTGACGGGGAGGGGTTGGAAAGAGAAACGAGGAGGCGAAACGCGGTACGGCCACGAAAACGAGGAGACACAGTCGGCGGGGTTCGGCTGGGTGGGGTGGCGACCGAAACGGGGGCCTGGAGGGGAATCCATCCATCCATATCCATCCCGGGGTGGCTACCAGGGCTTTGATTACTTGTTTTAATCTTCCGACTGCCGACTGGGCGAGCATCTGTCACTCAAAATCCGTAATTGCGCGCGGTACCCGCTTCCCCCTCCCCCCCCCCCCGCCCCTGCGCCCAAGTTCCTCGTCATCGCTCCGGTTGTCGCCGGCTAGAGGTACCCTCGGGATTCTTGCTTTGAGCGTCGCCATTACTTTCTTATTGCTCGTTTAGCACTTTCACGCTGGGGGCTTTCCGGTTACCGGATACGAGAGCGCCATTCGTGGCCAATCAGGTAATCGGATTACCCTGGCGAAATTTCTGTCCGACTCCTGGACCGATGAACACGCTTCCGGTGAACGCGTCGCTGCTGCACTCTAGGAATCGCGATGCACGCGAGGGAGGTTCATTTGGACGAGTGGTTCTTGAGTGAGACTCAA